TCACACGACGTTGTGAACATGTCAAATGGTGATAACAATAACTGCAACAGTGCTTCTATATTCATACACTAACCAACGGACCCGCCACCTTTTCCCTCAACAAAGCCCACGAGTATTACACCTTTGCTAACAGTGACTGTTGCACTCAGGGCCAAAAATTAGCTGTCACCTTCAATGAAACTTCCACCACCCCAAACTCTAGTCCAGCTACATCCCCGTAATTGCCGCCCCAAGGCCCCCAACCACTGGGACCACCACATCTCTGCCACCACCAGGTAGTGATGCTTCATATCTCTGTGTGACACTGCTAGTCCTGTTTATGTCCATTGCCATAAGCTTATCATGTGAGTTCATTGTACATGAGGATCATTATTTCTACTAGATATAGGTGGACTGTTGATAGATCGTGAAATGTTGCTCCGTGTCATAAAGTGAATAAACTCGTTAAAATGCTTCTTCTCATAATTCCAGCATGATTCATATAGATGACATTGCTCAAACTTGTAATAGTTCATAAATTTCTTTGGAAAACATATATGATTCTCCTCCCAAATTCTGAATTTCGGCTCTATTCGCAGTTCCAATATCATGAAGACCGAGATCATTAGAAAAATTAGAACACGGCAGGAGACAAAACCTTGCATACTTGAAAGTCATAATGGAGCATCACTAGAACAAATCCTCATTGGTGAAGCGAAAAAATCTCACCATTGGAATGACAAATGAGCATAACAGTAAATCACACGGTGACAGGAAAAACGGTGTGAATCTTGTTAGGATCAAACTCATCACAAACAATCGATTGAGAACTAAAAATGACAATGAAACTATGAACTCATTCTTGCAGCCTTGCAGCATATCAAATTCACACCTGATGATTATTAGCTTGAAAGAACCCGACGAATTTTGGAGACTCAGAATGCCACAAGTCCAGCAACATGATCACTCTCTTTGCCTATGTGTTTTTGTACTTTGCCTCCAGAAGCTTCCTTAATAATCTACACGTCAATCATTAAATTACTTCTAGTAATCATATGAGAACAGACAAGAGAGAAAATTACAGTTGCAATATCGCAGAACAATAAAAACCAATTCAAGCAATCAGGAAAAGCAAGCAAATTCATGTCATTCCTGAGCGTGGGATTTCTGTCGTCCAACTTAAGAAACTGAGATGACTATGGTCAAAGGGATTTTCTTAAAGAGTTGCTTGTTCTTTTAATATTTTGTAATTTCCATAGTATTAACATCGCGTATAAACCAGTATGCCTGCCATTAATCAACAGCATAAAAGTTTAACTCGCCATGTAAACAAAACAAACTGGATTTCTATACTGTATCAGCGGTTTTGTTTCAACTAAGATGGGCTATTTTCTTCCCATCCCCACTAGAGACTAAATGCCTTGATGTTTTTCAAAATTATGATACATCACTTTGGCTGTTCAAATTATGATGCATCGCTCTGAAAACTAAATAAATGATCCAAATTATTTGCACAATATATGTTAGCACATACATCTTTTGCAAACATATGTGTAGTCGTACAAGCAACTATTATTCACTTTACCGGCAAAGTGGCTATCTCATGAAAATTCGAAGTTTTTTTCTTTATTTTGATGGTATGGCATAGAGACCTTAATTAATTTAACTTATTTAATTCGAATGGGTTCGAAAAAGTGCGAGAGGCATTGGCTTTATGTGAGCTCAATGCCTTACCATCGCTAAATCATGAGGGTCTTACATGGGATATGCCGAAATCAGTTGGATATAAGGAACCAACTGATGTCATGACTTTGACCAATTATATTGATATATGATATTTGCATCATAACCAATTGCAGCATGAACTCTTAGTTTACTAAGTTTGAGTAGAATCTACTCCTTCTCAAGTCTATTTTCCAACTAGATGATACTTAACTCAGCCGCAACTCGAAATTACAATGTGTGGACTTAGTCTTCACGAAATTTCAGAGTGAAAAAGTGTGAAATCTTGAAATCACAGGGCGTAAAGAGTTAATTTTAAAATTTGATGTTCTAGATTTTCATTAATGAATTTTTCCTTCTGTTTTTTGGCCAGGTTCATTAATGAAGAAAATTCGAAGATAGTGAACAAAAAATCCTAATGTTTCGACCAAAAAAAAAAGAACAAAAAAATTTTAATGCCTAAGGTAGACTGAACCCGTTATATTAGTCAGAGGCCGAAAGCCTAACATCAATTTGGGCTTAAACAACAACAAGAAGCCCATTTTCTGAATTAGTCCAACGTGAGGCTCCTTAGAAATGATGGCCCAAAGATTAGATAGCGTCCTGGAAGTTTTAGTACGATTGTGATTATTATTTGGACCTTTCTCGGCCTTCTGGCAAAGATGTAAGTGTTGATGATTATTTGGCTCTATGTCTTCTGGTTTTCTCTTTAATCAGAAATGCTTGATTGCCGATTAATTGTATCCGAAGACAATCTTCGAATGATAAAAAATCTCAATACATGTAGGGATAAGCAAAAAAGGGTCCAAACCTTTATACTCAACCGAACTTTTGACAAGAGTACTTTCTTAAATAAATGGATCATAAATCGAACAAATTTGGCTTCAATTATTTTGAAACCGACTGAACCACGAAACTATATTGTATAACCTATGAGGTTCATAATTACGTTTACCATTTATACATGAAGGTTTTTTTTGTTTTTTTATTATGAAGTAGGTTTGATGTTCATTTTTCGTAATTTATGAATTATTGTGAGTGTAGACCTCGACGTTGAAACCACATCAAACCGCATCGGACTCATCCCTAGGTACACATTGATGGTTTAAGACACCTCAGCCACTTCTTAAATATAGATCCAGATATAGACGATCATCGGAAATTTCTATCACAAAATTGGCAATCATAAATTTGAGGATTGAAGGATTATCTCTTTAAGTTCCGAACGGGTAGCAAAACTTGCAGGCTCTTCATATAGTCTTGTATATTAATACAACGATCGCTTTCATGTTAATACCGATCAACTGATAGATTCTGTTAGTGCATTTCCTTGTCAAATCATAATTGCATCTTCTCATTCCATATGATGATGTCTGAATTTAAACATTTCGGAGTTATTTTTAACTAAATGTTATTCTTTTCATTGTTCATGTTAGATTGCGACATCGGATAACCCAGTGGACATAATGACTAAGCATGTTTTTTTGGCTAAGCTCAAGCTCTACTTGAGCACTATTGGTATCTGCGGAGAGTGAGCGTCTATCGGGGCGTTGGGAGAGCATCATGATTTATGAGTATTATAACTTTGCTACAAACGTCGAACCAAAGTGGAGAATTGTTGAATTTATGTCACGGGTTTGAACCCACGTAACAAATTCACTTTCTTATTTAGCTCATTTCGGCAGGGGCTCACGGTCATTGGCTTAACACAAATCGAGAATAAAGAAGGCCACTAAAAGACAAAATAGGAGCACACTTTATTTTATTATATCTATTTCGGTGGGCCCAGGTCAATTTGTTGACTCCTTTACCAGTAAAGGACTTCACTTCTTGTACGTACAAAAGAAATGTGTGGGGCCACGGAAGTTAGAAAAAAGGGAAAGCAAAAACAAAGGGTTTTTTGCCGCATATAAAAATATAAAAATTGAGGGTTTCTTTCTTTCAGCGAAGACCAAAGCCGTACAAAGCAAGACGTACAGAGATGCTTGTATTCAAGCCGCATAAAGGAGGCAGAACGTACAGAGACGTTCTTAGACATGCGCGTGTTTTGCTTTGGACTTGAACACGCGGTGATTTGTATAGTGAGTTTATTTCGTCTAATTGAGTTATTTATTTGTAAACACTTTGGTTCTACGCTTAAATCTAGGTGTGAGAAACACTCGAGCGTATAAGCGAATTGTAAATCTGATTCTCCGATTATAATGAATTATTTGTTGCTGACTCTCACCGTAAATGTAAGTACCGATACTTGGACCGAATCACATAAATCTCCAGTGTCCTTATTATTTATCGTATTTTTCTAGTATTTTCGCATTGACTTAATTTACAAGATCCTATCGTTTTTGCGTCATATTTCAACAATAACCAACCTCGCTCTTTATACCATAAGCAATATGACATTACATACAAGTGATTGAGTTTTTATATGTGCTACTTCAATTATTCTGCAGAGTTATTGTAGAGTATGGAGTAGCAAATATAACATCATGACATCGAAGCTTGCAAATCTAGATGTAGACTGGTATAACATGATCTGAACTTTTGGCCATTTCATCATATATGTTTGATCCAATTGAGTGAATATCAATTAGTCAAATATTATGGTCGGTCGCTGGAATGATCTACAACTTGAATATAATAGAGACTAAAGAATATGCATGATACCACCCGCCTGGGTGGCGCTGCTGGAAAGGGCACTCTTCCTCTCGCAAAAGGTTGGGTGTTCGAATCCCGGGCGCCGTAGGGTGACTTAACCGGTGCACGTGTGTGGTGGCTAGCACGTGTCGCCCCCAGGGTTTACCTTCCGGCTGTCGGCCGTGCGGGGGTTCCCTAGGTTACCAAAAAAAAAAAAGAATATGCAGGATTGGCAGTCCATTATCAAATCGGCCTCCTCAATCCCATTACAAAGGTTTGAGCGATGTCACATTGATTCCCACCCCATCCCGCAATCCATTCCGGCAATATCATAGAACTGACCTTTCACGCCATTGAAAGACAGATGTGAATGCATCATTTTGGACATTTTCTTTGTCGGTGAATGATTAGTACCGGCTTTCTCTATTTCAATCTCAATCTCACTCACCAACCACTCGGAAAGTTTTTTTTTTTTTTTTTGGTAACCCAGGGAACCCCCGCACGGCCGACAGCCGGGGAGTAAACCCTGGGGGCGACACGTGCTAGCCACCACACACGTGCCACCGGTTAAGTCACCCTGCGGCGCCCGGGATTTGAACACTCAACCTTTTGCGAGAGGAAGAGTGCCCACTCCAGCAGCGCCACCCAGGTGGGTGGTTCCACTCGGAAAGTTTTATACTCAGTCGAAGTAACAAAGCTAGTGCCTCACTCCACAGTACATATATAGCATCTGCAACTTTTAGCACCAAGGAAGCCACCACGACCACGAGATTTGGTGTGAATCGACTCTACTTTCACCAGTTTGCATGCCCAATGAGCAATAGGTTTCACATTGTTCTCTTTCATTTGGTCTAAGGCTAATCCATGTATTTTGCAGCCACACCTCCAGTTCATGAAAACAGAGGTTCTCCCGTCTCCTCTGAGCATCCCATCTCTGCAGGTTTATGCAATTTCCCCTAATCGACCAAGGGCCAGAACTTAGGACTATCTCTGCTTGGTGCCAGCCGTGAAACCTGAACAAATACATTTTCTCATTTTGAGGGGTTATAGTAATGTCAACCATACCAGCGCAGGCTTTCCTTCAAACACTAGCTACGCAGCTCGACTCAAGCATTTCTCTGACAAAATCCTTCCAATTTAAACCATCTCAGCTTCCTCATCATCAATTTGCTCAAAAATCAAATGATCCCCCAGAAGATTGTCTACCAGAGATGCTTGCAATGTTAAGAGAACCTCTGCAGGCATCCTGTAACGAGAAAAAAGAAATAGATTAGCAGAGAATAAACTCAGACATGTCGTCGAACAGTTGATAGGGGCAGTGTGTAGTGATAGGAAAACTAATGCGACAAAACAATTCCAAAGAGACATAACTAAAATAGAAAGCAGATGGAAATAACTAATGATGATAGAGCGCAAATATCAGGATATTGGATGATCGAGAAGAATGGGGGTGACGATCATGGAGAAGGATAGCAGAAAGAAAACATCATTGTGATGTAGGGAAAGCTCTCAACAGAGAGAGAGAACCTCTCACAGAGGGGAGAGATACAAATCTATGTATACCATCCTGAAGAGAACTCAATATCCCAATCTTTTTGGAGTATAAATGCTAGAAAGCTAACATATGAAATTAAGAGAAAAACGGTTCTTGTAATTTCTAGCTTACAGAAGCTCTGTTTGTAAAATCTCCTGATTTAAATTGCATACACGTACTTATGTGCAATCAATCTTGAGCTTCAGTGGCCAAAAAATCAATCTTGAGCTTCACTCTTTTAATGCCAATGTTCTTCCATTATTTTTGCAGTGTTCTACTTCAACGCAGGGTCACACATGGTGATAACAATAACTGCAACAGTGCTTCTACGTTCATACACTAATCAACGGACCAGCCACCTTTTCCCTGAACAAAGCCTGCGAGTATTACTTAGTCTACACCTTTACTAACAGTGACCGTTGTTCTCAGGGCCAAAAATTAGTTGTCACTGTCAGTGAAACTTCCACTGCCCCGACCACCAGTCCAGCTGGATTCCCGTAACTGCTGGCACCAACCACTGGGACCACCACGTCTCTACCACCACCTGGAAGTGATGCTTCGTATCTCTTTGCAACACTGCTAGTCCAGTTCATGTCCATTGCCATAAGCTTGTTATGTGAGTTCATTATACATGATCCTCATTATTTCTACTAAATATAGGTGGACTATTGATAGATCGTGAGATGTTGCTCCTCGTCATAAAGTGAATAAACTCGTTAAAATGCTTTTATAATTCCAGCATGATTCATATAGATAACATTGCTCAAACTTGCAATAGTTCATTAGTTTCTTTGAAATACATCTATGGTTCTCCTCCCAAATTCCTAAGTTCGGCTCTGTTCACAGCTCCAATATCATGAAGACAAAAACTTGCATACTAGAAACTTGAAATAGAGCATCACCAGAACAAATCCTCATTGGCGTAGCGAAAAAATCCCACCATTGGAATGATAGAGCAGAAGAGTAAATCACGCGGTGACAGGAAAAATGGTGTGAATCTTGTTAGGATCAAATTCAACACAAATGGTTGATCGAGAACTTAAAATGACAATTGTCGGAGGTGTCAACAACAATGAAACTATGAACTCACTCTTGCAGCCTTGCAACATATAAAATTCACACCTGATGATTAACTTGAAACAATCCAACGAATTTTGGGGATCCAGAGCGCCACAAGTCCAGCAGCATGATCGCTCTACTTTGCCTATGTGTTTTTGCACTTTGCCTCCAGAAGCTTCCTTAATAATCCACATGTCAATCATTAAATTACTTCGAGCAATCATATGAGAACACACAAAAGAAAATTACAGTTGCAATATCACAGAACAATAAAAAAACCAATTCAAGCAATCAGGATAAGCAAGCAAATTCATGTCATTCCTGGGTATGGGATTTCAGTCATCCACCTTAAGAAACTGAGATGACTATGGTTGAAGGGATTTTGTTAAAGAGCTGCTTGTTCTTTCAGTGTTTTGTAATTTCCACCATAACAACATCACGCATAAGCCAGTATGCCTGCCATTATAAGAATCAACAGAAGATAAAAGTTTAAGTCGCCATGTAAACAAAACAAACACGTTATAGATGACCTGCAAGCAAGCAGAACAACGTTCAATACAAAACTTATGATCTAGTCCTCCAACAAGGGCTGCCAGTTACATTCCTACTATGATCAAGAGAAAGATTTCATTCCAACTAAGGAACAGGAATCACTCAGTAATGTTCAAAAAAGAATCACTCACGGATGATTCACCAGGACTGCCAGCTTCATTCATGATTTTATCAAGTCTAAGATTTTGCCTTATTAGGGGACAGGGATCAGTCTCAAATATCGAACTATCACCAGAATGTGATCTCATGAATACCCGACGTAACAACTGCTCATATTCTATATGAGGAAAGCTCAAGACAATTCAGATATTGGCTGTAGCCACTTGCATCTGGAAATGTCGTAAGCTTGTGGAAGCTCCAAGTCTCTAAGCCCTCAAGGCTCAATTAGTTTGTCGCGGTCTGGTACGACAATTGACGAGCATCATCAAATCTCTATACTTTACAGGTGGCTCGATCCTTTGAGCCCTGAGATGTCTGATAATTTCCAACGAGCTGTCACTATCAAGTTCCTTAAATCTTCCAATTTCGACACATCTGGGAATTTCACTAACAACTTGCAACCTTGAATACACACACTTTTGCAGGATGAGAATATCTCTAGGCTTTGAATGTAATTGCAGCGGTTGATTTTCAACCTGTTCAGGGTTTTCAATCACGATAGATCCGATAATCTCCCAAGGGAAGTGCAACAACAGATATCCAATATTACCAAAAAATCCAGCCCGTCAAGGTTGCGTTTCAACAAGACTCTTGCAGTTTGCAACATGAAAGCCCTCAAATTCTTTAAACTAGAAAGATCTGGTTATCTTTCGATGGATGTGCAATTAGAGATATCCAATCTTACCAATAATCAACCTCTCAAGGCCGTGAATTTCAACTAGATTCCTGCAGTCTGCAGCATAGAATCCCTTAAGACATTTTTAACTTGATAGGTCTGTTTATCTTTTAATGGATTGAAAGGTCTGGTAATCTTTTAATGGACATGCATCTAAAGACATTAAAACTACCCAAATTTTCTAATTAATCAATCAAGGCCTCGAACTTCAACTAGATTCTCGCAATTTGCAGCGTGAAATTCTAAGTCTTTAAACTGGAAAAGTCTGGTAATCTTTTAATAGAAGAGCACCCAGAGATATTCAATCTTGCCAGTAAATCCAACCTGTAAAGACCACGAATTTCAACTAGATTTCGGCAATTTGCAGCATGGAATCTTTCAATGGATGCGCATCCAGAGATACAGAATGTTACCAGATATTCTATATGGGTCAGCCTCAAACTTCAACTAAATTCTCGCAGTTGGCAGCATCTGATTCTTTTAGATTCTTTAAACTTGAAAGGCCAAGTGATTGAATGGACATGCAAACAGAGATATCCAAACTTACCAGACTCTTGCAGTTTGCAACACATGATAGCCTTAGATGTTTCGAACCCGAAAGGTCCCCTGAATCTCAACTACATTCTCGCAACTCGCAGCGTTTGTTTCGAAGTTGTGAAGCAGCACCTTCTGCAGTCATTTTCTGCACGAGTGCGTCTAAAGAACCGAGCCAAAATGATTGTCAATGGCCCAACCGAGGGAACCTTTTGGTGGCTCACCACCTCCTCCCTGCATTACCCAACATAGAGCGACCACAAGGATCAAAATTTGTCAAACATGCATTTACCTGAATTGGAGCAAGATTATTCCATACTATGGAGTGATTAACATGACCTGAACATAGGTTACATCCACAAAATCGTAAGAGGAGCAAAATCAAAAGGATAATAATGGGCTAAGCGCCAAAAGCTAATCTTTAATAGTTGAATATGCACATAGAGAAAATAAAGAGAAAATTTAAGATTGTTGGATAATTTATAAAAACAAGAAGAGGTAATAGAAGGGCTGGCGCAGCCATCAGTGCTCTTAGATAAAACACAAAATTTCTGCAAATTGTTTTCAAACAATAGACCTGAATGTAGCATGTTTCAAATGTGATGAAGTTCTTTAAGAAAGTTCAATCACAGTCGTGGTTCAACATGCCTTTGCCAAACTGCATGAACTACCACCACAATGCCTATGAAGCTTACTTAAAAATGAATTGATAATATCTGATACAACATTTCACACTTGTTCATCACATGCTGTAAATTATTCATATGAAACAAAACGAAACTCAGAAACCCTAATTTCACCTCTTTTCCCCTTTCATTTAGTTGGTAGCAACTGCAATAAGAATGTGATAACAAAAAAAACCTACCGATGCAATGACTAATCTAAGCAACTGTCTTCAGGATGGAAAGACAACCCTCAACAAAATTTTCCTCCTAGTCAGTAAGCACGACACAATCTGAATGTGGTGACATTCGAACGCCACCCATCCTCACTAGTGCCATATAGATCCAAAACTTGTCACTCTGTACATTCTATAGTACTATGGTTCATCAGGAGCACCAGCGCACCATTCACATCGATAGGGCAAAAGCTATTGACAACCAATCAGACATTGGTGAGCTATGGCAGACAAATACTAAAAAACCAGGAACTTTGGCTCTAGAGGGGAGCTAACCCATCAAGGATTTGACATGAGCAGCGACTGCAGATAATAGATTTGTCTTACCAAGTGCTGGCAAAGCCAGATCAATCACTTTATATACACTACAAGTTCCCTCGCGAAGGATAGCTCATCTTTGAAATGTGCCGCTTATTATATTCAATTGTCCACGAGTTAAATTCTCAACCACCTTTCACTCTCAATTTCATTGAATCTGAAGAAGCTTTCATCACAAATAACGCCTTCCTTCAGTCCATTAACCTTAAATGGAACAAAGTCAAGAGCATTTTTCCTTGTTCATCTGTTTCGCTGACAAATAAGACTATATGCTAAATTGCGTTCAGCTACTGTGACCGAAAACCTTAACAGCTCTGCCTAGTCCTCATCATTTCTCGAGGGAACACTTTAAGTCACTAAGGATTGACCCCAAACGAGAAGTGAAGCACCTCCTCAGCAAATTTGACTCTGGCAATTCATTAAGGTCCTGTTTCTATGCAACGGCAGGCAACAGTTAAAGAACAATCCGAACACTCGTCGAGTCCGCGTTAGACAAGAGAATGCTCGATCAATTATCGCTCCGACAAATTTCACCCTCACTTCCATTGAACTTAGAAAGCAAACAACAAAAACTAAATCCCAGACAGAAGGAACGAAAGAAACAAGAGGACAAAACAGAAAAGAATCGAACCTCCGCCATTGAACTTGATAGGAGCTCTGCAACTTATTAACGACGGCCGGAGCGTCGCCCTCACCCATGGCATCGTGGAGCTGCTCGAGCGCCGTGTTGGAGGCCTGGCGGTGGTGGTGCTTCTTCTGGCGGTGCAGCCGCATGATCTCGCCGCTGATTGCGGGCTGGAGGGCGCCGTAGTCGTAGGGGAGATCAAGCCGCCATTAGAGCCGAGGCCAGACGCGGAGGCGGAGGCTAGGGTTTTTGCCGGCCAGCAGCGCGCGGAGAGCCATGGGAGCTTCCCTTCTGCTGTGGAGCTGATCTTCGAGCTCAGTCAGATACACACCTGGGCTCGTCACCTCTGGACAATCTGGGAATATGCCTATTCAATGTCGTAGTGTATAAACGGCCCAACCCCCGTCTAATGCGAGCGCTGGACAAATTAACCTCCCCAGAGAAAGTAACAGATCGAACAGAAACCTTGGATAGTCGGACGGGAAGCTCGGGGAGACATTCAAGTGGACGGCAATCAGAAAGGGTGAGTTCCTCGAGAAGGGTTAGTTTGGAAAGAAATGGTAACGATGGACTTGGGAAAGTGATGTGCAGAGCTGTTAAGCTGGCGGGCGGCTCAGGTATTCCTCGAAGGTTTTCGCAAAATTTAAGGCTGAGACATTGGAGAGAAGAGAGCTTAGAAATGCTTTCTGGCAAACCCAAAATGCTCGATCTGTCTAAATAAAGCTCGTTTAGCGAAACCAGTTCGCCTATATTATTAGGCAGTCCTTTCAGATTGTCGCAGCATACTGCACTCAACTCTTGGAGTTTCGCCAGCATTCCAATGACACTAGGCAATTCCGTCACGGGAGTTCCACTAATGCGCAAGATCCTCAAATTTTGCAGATTCCCAATGCTTTCAGGTAATTTTGTAATCGATGTCCATGCTAATCGCAGCTCATTCAATGATGCCAACTTTCCAATCGAGTCGGGGATCTCTCTCAACGATCGACATTCCGATAGGTCAAGGCGAGACAGGGATGCTAGATTGCCTATGGAGCTAGGTATGCGAGCTAATGATTCGCAGCCATAGGCATTAAGAGTCTCCAGCGGCTCCATAGAACTAATGAATTCAGGTAATTCTTTAATCCTTGTCTCATGTAAGTTCAGCTGAGTTAACGACACAAAGGAGCCAATGGATTCTAGAAGCTGAGCAAATTTATCACAACTTAGGGCACCTAGAGTCATTAGCTTCATCAGACAACCTCTCGAAATAGGATTCTCTTTTATAGCGGTGTCACTTATAAGAAGCTCCCTCGATTCTTCCATTCTCCCCACTCTTGCCGGTAGCTCCTTCAATCTCTTACAATAGTTTACATTCAAGGAGACGAGGGTCTTGATATACCATATAGAAGGATGAATTGCTTCCAGACTACAACAGTTTTCAAGAATCAAAATCTCCAAGCTTTTAAAAGCAGACAAGTCGGGAGTTCTTCTCAAATGTTTACAATACGAGAGGTTGAGAACTTTCAGCTCGGTTGCCATCTGAAAGAAACAAAGGAAAACCTCATTGAAATTGGACAGCTGCAATGTGTGATTTTCCACTATTCCTTGTATCTTTTTAAGAATCTTTAAAATTCCTAAAAAGTACCAATGCTCCGCTACTCTTTCACAATTGTCTTATTTAATTTTAAATGTTTTATTAGTAGTGTTTGGCTACACCACCATATTGATTTTTTTTAAGCATATCCATTGCAAAAAGAATGTTATCTACGTACAACTGCTAGCTGTGTTTTTTTTCGGATAAAATTTCAAAGAGAAAATATATTCAGTTTTTAAGAGCTATGGCGATGCCGTTGATTAGACATAAACAAATTTTATTATCAGAAAGCAAATGACACTTTAATAGTATGAAATTAAAGAGAAACAGGTAGTTTAATTATGAAAAGTAATTTTTTAATGTTATATGTACAAGATATAAAGCATGTTGTATTCCAAAAGAATTTGATGCCATTGGAAGGATAATTTTATTACTCTCGTGACATCAATAATTTATATTTGTGTTATACAGTGACGACTTCCATAATCAACAATTATAATGAATAAATATTTCGTGCAACAAGTTAGAGCAATTCATAAATTATATGCATTACCCTAAGATTAAAATTAATTTAGAATTTTAGTATGTACGTACAGCACAAGTCACTGCATGGGAGTTTTTGTTTCTCCAAGAAAGAAGATTGATATAGAGATATAACAAGAATCGCTCAAAAGAACTACTTTTGCATGGGGATAAATTATCTTAGAAGCCACAAACCAGCTAGATTAACGAAAATCAAAATATGCACGAATATGTAATTATGTTTTTAATAGATGTTAATTAATATAGTTAATTTCTTTTTTAGTATTGTCTAAGGTTAAGCATGACGGATTGTAGAGTTTTATCAATTAAAGATATTAAGGGGCAGAAGCTTCTGAATACATAGGTGCCTATAAATTCCATATTTAGATGAAAATCCTTAATTCGAGGAAT